AAGGATGGATTAAATAGGTTGTAAATAAATACCTATTTGGGCACTTTTGACTTGATTGAGGGATGATTGTCCACTGCTCGTGCTTAAGAGTTTCGGTGTGCCTCGAGGGTAATTTTGTCCTTTTATACCCAAAAATCTACGTGTCGCCTATTGGTTATTTTTGGCTCCACAATGTGTAAATAAAGATTAAGAAATTGAACGATTCTAATTATAAAATTCTTACAATGAATACATGTTATCCTTAAGGAATGCAAGTATTTTCCATATAATTGTACCCTTTAAATCTGTAACCGAGATAAAGGAGACTTAATTTGGAATAAGTTCATTCGCATTTTTATGACTGTTATAGATTGTTGGTCAATTTTGGTGTAACGAATCTTGTTAGGTTTAAAGTAGAAATATTTTTGTCTATCACTGGTTAGCACTTAGTAAGAAGATAAGTAGAGAAAATTTTCTATGACAGGGACGTTAAGTCGATTATGTAGCATCATGCGTTTTAATGATTTTTTTATATATCAACCTGTCGGCAGTGTTGCATGTAGGTTTTCCTTTCTTCCACGTGAAAACGAAAGTATTTTCTTGACAAGAGCATCAACTAGCCGGTCTTGTGGACAGATGCCAACAAGTATGGCTTGTCTCCTTCTGCAATAACCCACCATGAAATTCTCTCCATGAAGCAAACTCACTGAAGTTTTCAGTTATGGGCATCATTTTCACTTCTCTGTATAATATTCTCCGTCATGGACTTACGCTGCAATCGATAATGTAATATACTATATATGCTTTCCAGCCATATTCATTATTTGCATATTGTATGCATCATGTAATATCTGATAGACTTAGTCGTTTAAATATTAAAATGTTTGGTAACGAGATGATTTTTAAATGAGTTGTATACATACGAAGGTGTGTGTGCGTGTCTGTAAACCCTAGCTAGTTATAACCTATAACTGAGACTCCATGACATATAGTGCAGCCCTATTTGAGCGGAGCAACTTCTATTATTGTCACTTTCGGTCATGAAATTATTTTGTTGGAATGTCATGTGGCAGTAGACTTATTCCATGTAAGTCCCATCTATTTGGAAGAGAGGTTTTCTTACTATGTAATGGTAAATGTCTATTGGATTATGAAATCTTTTTTTTCCTTGTCAAAGGTATGAAACCCTTTTTGAACGCATGAAAAACATTTATTGGGCAGCTGACACTATTGAAACTATCTCTTCATTACAAAGACCTACGTCGAACGAGTTCATCGTTACAGTAACTTCTAGTTCCAATTAAACAATGACATGCGTAAATTTTTAACACATAAGATTATATTATTAGATTCTAACATCATATAATGATGAATCTGTTCCATGTAAATTGCTATCGGATAGAATCTCTTCCTATTTCGATCCTAATGAGATATTATTTCCAAGTGGTAAACCGGCTGACTACAATATTTTGAGAAATACAAAGAAGACAGACTTCCCTACTAGGCAATTGCTTGCTAAACTGCCACCTTCACCGGTTCACCCCCTTATTGTTTTACACAAAAAGTGGATAATATATCATTATATTGGCCTTTCGTGGACAGTTGGGGCCAACCAATGGTTCCAGAATATTTTTTTATGCTTGCGACAAGGGACGCATTAAGAGAATATGGAACAACAGGAATACAACTAAGAGAATATGAGAGAAAAGGTGTATACAAGGCTTATGTTCTTTTTCTTTTTTTCTTTTTTTCTTTTTTTCTTTTTCTTTTTTTTTGGGGGAAACTTACAAGGCTTATGTTCTTTTCGAGAGAAATTTGAGATTAAAATTTTACTTTTATTTATAGTCATTGTCATCTGCTTAATTTTATCTAATCTCATTGGCTTACATTTCTCGTTCTACGTACTCCTATGCCGTCTTTATTTTTGATTTGATAATTAAATCCGTGTATTTTCTTAGCCATTGTTTATAAATCATATACGCAAAAAAAAAAAAAATCAACTAAATTAAAATTTTTTAATCATCTTACATTACTAATAGATGAACAAACAAAGTGTTTTATAAAAACAATGGATTATCACATTATGGCATTTACAAAGAGATTGATATTGTATTCTCCACTAAAATAAACGCGTCAAAATTTATAGGTTAAATATGCGAAAAGGCAGGTGTCGACGTGTCGTCCGATTGCCCCGAATTGACATCAGCCTTTTGTCAAGAAGTGCACAGGGCACTAGAGCCATCACTTTCAAGTTTCGAAGCACTTGGCCATACTTTGGTGTCCGAGTTAATGTCAGGGATTTAATTTCAAATTTCTAATGATTCATATCAAAATATAGAAATTTTTATTTTATTTTATTATTACAAGCGATATTACTTACGTGGCATTAAGATCCTCTCCGTTAAGAGAATCCACAACTTACTGATAAGAGGGTTTAAGTTGTACATGTTAGCAAGCTAATCCAACACTAATCACTCGTTTTATCAATCTCACAACATTATCTCATAATTCGTACTATTAATAATTTTATTTCGTCATTCAAACTTCCTGCTTGCAAAAGATTATCCAACTCAAACAATAGTTAGTCATCTAGATATGATCAAGGAATACAACATAAGCATTGGGTTGGAAGGAATCTTGGAGTTCATGGAAGGGAGATGCACAAGACAGAGCAGACAAAAAGGGGATTTCGTCACGAAATTTTCGTGGAACAAGCCAGGTGCTGCTCTTGGCCTTGTTTTTCAAGTATTATACAATAAACACAAAACTTTGGACTCAAATTCTCAACAGTCAAAACCTAGTGACGTTCGTACAATTCCAAATTCACGTTAGTGGTATCTTCCTCGGGAAGAAAACGATAACTAAGGCTCCTTTTGTGCTAGAGATTGTAACAAAGCAGCGCATACCACGACTGGTCTTGTGCTTAAAGAGGAGGGCCGTTGCTTGCGGATTTGGATCCTCTCCTGAGCTAATGGAGAGGATCCTCCTCATCAATCATCGTAGGCCGTTAGATTTTTATCCAACGGCTACAAACAGGGGGTCCCTTTAAAGTTATAATGATTGTAGCCGTTGGATAAAAATCCAACGGCTCACGATGATTGATGAGGAGGATCCTCTCCATTAGCTCAGGAGAGGATCCAAATCCGTTGCTTGTGGGATGCTGTGATTAGGGGTGATTTTCGTCCGAGTCAAATTGGAAACAAGCATTTCAACACCAATCCAAGAGAGTTTCGAAATCAAATAATAGTTCCAATTTCAGAATTGAATTATCGAAATTTTCAATACATAATTTGGATATCCTACATTTTGGAAGACAAAAAATTTTCAGACTTTTATATATCAACCATACAATATTTTTTCTGAATTTTTGCTATATTTGTAGGTTGTTCCAATTGTCATCCTAATCTAAAAAAAAATTCGTTCAAAAATGTTAGGACTCGAAACAGAAATTTTCGGCTCGGATTGAAATTTCCAATCCAATTTGCACCCATAGCGTTGATCCATGTTGACTCTTTGACGTCTAAGTGCAGATGTTAATGTTTACACTAAAGAATGAGGAAAATAAATTGGTATCGAATTCGTCATCTAGGAGCTTCGAACCTAAGATTTTTAGTGAAGAATAATACTGCTGAATCATAATACTGAGTGACATTTAATCATATCATTAATCATCAACTTTGTGTCTATTATTCCCTCTAACATTTCATGTGTTGATCAATTCGTATTCATCAATGTAGTCGAATTAACTAAAGCAGTATGCCTCCATTTTTACTTAAGTTCGAATATTTCTTACTTTGGTTAAATTAGATTGTAATATTGTAATATTGCTTGAAAAGAAGGAAATAAATAAAATCAGAATTCAACGGTCTAATATATGAGACTGGGCTTTTAAAATTTGAGAAAGGCCCAATAGGAAAATGAGATACATTTGAAACTCTAGTAACCCTCAAATTGGACAAATGTAACACCCAATTTATCGCTCACATTTCTTTTTCTTCCGTTTTTCTTCATATGGTCGGAAGTTCCTTCCGCAGCTATCTTCTTGTTTCTGTCCGTTGATTCTCCTTTAATTATTCAATGAAAGTCTTATGGGAAAAGCAAGGAATGCGGAAGAGAAGAAAATCGAAGTGGAAAAATTATTTTTCATTTCGTATCACAAACTCAGTCAAGGTCGGATTGCAGTTAGAGCAAACGTTGCGAGAGGCCTTGAGACAGAGAGACAAAATGGACACCATTGTAGACGAGCTGCGAACTCGAATCATGGACCTTTTTTCATTCTGGAGTGGTATGAGGAATGTACAGCAATTAGAGGGTTCAAATGTTGAGTTTTTGGCTCGAGAAATATGAATCAACTCAAACATGACACAGATGATATATTGGTTGGGTCATTGTGAAGACATCCACAGGGTTAACTTAATTGATCGGGTTAGCCATTTAGTACAACGGTCTAGTAATATTCCCTTTTACTTGTAAGTGAGAAATCTTAAGTTCAATTCTCGCCAAATGATAATTTGAACCAAATTATTGCTATTTCATTATAAAACTTGTCCACTCCCCCCCGCCGCCCCTCTCTCTCTCTCTCTCTCACACACACAGTATAGATAACATCGTTTGTCCAAAAAAAAAAAAATTAAATAAATAAATTGATCGGATTAAGGTTCACTAATACTTGATACGAACTTGAATGGTACGTTACCTAATCACGCAATGGCACCGCGCGGTTCAGTTGTCATGCATAAAAATGGCCTGGAAAAGGGGTAGCAAATGACCTACTTTACTTCTTTCGTTCACCATGAATAAATAAATGGAAACAAAGAAAACTAAGATCTCAATAACGTGTTTTAATTCACCTTGTAGGCTATCTTTCCACTTGTAAAAGTGAAATTTCTTGTTCAGTAACACTTATCATGTCAAAGATGATGCATCTGTCGTTATGAATCACACGCAGGTTTGGTCAAGTCATGAAAAATGTAACAAGAAATGCTACTTCTCGGACCCGAATTGCGACATTCAAGCTGCAATTCATGAATCAAATAACGCTAAATACTAAATACCTTGTCCAATAGCAAAGAATAATGCTCCTCTTGTCTCTCTTTTAACTAAAAGAATTACAGAATGAAACGAGGTGGGTACAAAAGTGGGAATACTCCCCATATAAAGAACGAACAAATAGTAAGATCTTTCGATTACCTGTACCTCTAATTCCTTCCTCCCTCAAGATCACGGAGGAAGAACGAGACTACTGTATCTGATGATTTACAACCTTTTGAATTGCTGGCCAGAAAGTGTACAAAAAGCTAACTGGCAGAATCAGTATTTGATCACATGGTGGCGCAACCAAAGATCGTACATGACCATGTGAAATGCATCATATTTGACAGGAGGTGAATTCCACTGGAAGTGCTGCTGGACCTGAAAGAAAAATCATGACATGAAAAGAAATTTTTAGTTACCTACAATTAAAAACAAGTGTTCCCAACACACACGCACGACATCAAAGGAAATATATTCATCACATAATATTGAAGAGTGTGTAAGATCAACATACAATGACATTTTCTAGTTCTAAATGAAAGCATTTACCTTAACCAAGTTTTTGTGAAGCGTAAGAAACTCTGAATAGGGTATGTCCTTAAGAATTTGTTTAAGTTGATATACATCCTTCTCCGTAAGTATAACAGCAAATTTTTGCCAATCGAGAATGTCATTGAATGGAAGGTCATAGTAATTTGATAATATCACTGAAAGAAATCAAACCAAACAGTGGACAAACGATTAAGAGGACTTTTAATCGTATACATTACATTCAAGCTAAAAGAAAAAGGATAAATTAAGATAGGGAATTGCAATTTAATATTTTAAAAAGCTAATCACCATCGCCTCAAGTTTCTGTCCATAGGTACATCCCTAAGAAATAAAAAAAAAGTGTAGCTGCATTCGAGAACCACATTTACTTGTCATCATGCTCGAAGAACAATGACTGATGAGTGAAATTAAAGAAAATATAGACACGCGGCACACACCCATTCGATAAGCAAACAACATCAGTCAAGTGGCACAGTGAACACAGATTTGAGGATGCATCCATTGAATAAAAATGAAAACAATTCGAAAGTTATAGGCACAAAAAAGAAAGAGAAATTGTAGAGAGAGACTGATTTGCTTGAAATCTCTGTTCAAAATTAAAAATATTTTCGAGAAGAAACACCGCAAAGAGATTAAAATTTCTTACGTGAAGGCAAACTTTCTGATCCCCTAGCATGGATAAAGGTGTCTGTTTGCTTTCAATTCGCCTCTACTCCAATTTTTTCTTAAATAATATGGCTATATGATTCAACCATTGACATTCCCAATTCAAGCCAAGAATAGATGATAAACACCATTACATAAATCTCACTGCAATTTTCAAGAAACAATAATATCTGAATTCTTACCAGGAATACATCCATAATGGATTGAGTCAGTTGGGCGAGCACTGTTAACCTGCGAGCCACCAGGGCATATGCAGAACTTGGTTTCATAAAACTTCCTTTGATATAACAAATTCCCTTCTGCCCTGTTTATTCTGTTGTTCAATATATAAAGCTCTGTGTCATTCTCCCATACTCGTGCCAGTATAACTCTAATTTTGGAGTTCCGATGACCGGCCCAAAAACCGAGGGTTGTCCTGCAAAGCATGCCTCCTACTAATTAATGAACTTGTGTTATTAGGCTCAATCTGGTGGCAATAAAATTATAATTACCCTCCCATCTGGACAGGTGTCAACTTATGAAACATATCATATGATAGGTAGGCCTACACCCATGAGTATGGAAATTAATCCAAAAAGAAGTAATAACATATTGTTTGTGCAAGTCAATAAGTGCATAACAGAGCATATATATACAATAAACGCATATCCTTCTATATTACCTGTTCTCCACATCGTTTCCTCCGGCTGGAAGAGCAAATGGCTGAAGTACTTGAGGAAGGGCAACATCTTTGTGCGGAATGAAACCAACATCATAGCTAGGGGAACACACAACTCGAATTGAGTTTTTCACAAGAAGTGGAAGCCCTTCGGTTGCCCTCACCCCAACATCATGACACGTGACAAAGAAGTGATCAGCGCCCAAGGTTCGGTTCCAGTAAGGATACTTGGATATCAAGCTCTCCACATAGTCCCGAACAATTATGGTCATGTTTTCATAAGATGTACCCTGCATAATCATTATAAACCAACATATGAAGATCAAATTCAGAGTAGGAGATTGGTCGATCATATCCAATCACGTAGTGTTTCAGTGAGTAACCATTTATCAGTATCTATCTCCTGTATGCTACAATCAGACATTACCACGCCCATTTGAGATGCATCAAACCTAGACTAAAACATAACGCAACTCTTCGAATAAGTTCGCATTTGCAAATACGTCTAGTAAGTCTTTAGTACATAGCCCAAAACAACCAAATACTTGAATGCAATAACGATATCCTAAACCAAAAAATAATAAGATGAAACAAATCGAAATCCACAACAAATAAGGCATGGCCACTACAATGTAAAAAACTAGAGTTTCACTTTCCCTGCCAAACACAAATCACAACTAGAACTGAAAGCAAAATCGCAGCATCCACATTTGCAATGGCTGTAGTACCATGTCCCTTTGGCATTGTAAAACTTACAACTCATCCAAAAACATGCCAAACAACGAAAATATGAGATTTCTCCGATTCACAACAAGAAGGAAAATCACAATCTCTATCAGCTCTACTTTCCCCGCAATTTTCTCAGCAGCCAAGCAGTCCAAAACAAAACAAAGTGAATCCGGATCGGAATGAGTTAGAGTGAAACAATACCTTGCCTCGCATTTTGTGGGAGGAGATAGGGATGAAGAAGAGGTGAGCCTGATCCGGATCGTCGGTTCGGAAGTGACTTTCTCTGATATTCTGAAAGAAATAGCCCTCGCTGGCGTACTTACCGGTGAGCTTCCTCGGCGTCTGGTAAAACGTGTTCGGATCGCCGTCCGGGTAGATGTAGACCTTGAATTTGGCTTCCATCTTGGCGAAATTCAACCGGAACACCTCCGGCGAGTGGTAGATGTCGGAGAACTGCTCATTGTCTGTGTCGTCGTCGGAGGAGGAGATGAAAGTGGTGGTGGCGGTAGTGGGGGAGGCGGAGGCGGAGGGATGAAGGGAATTGAGGGAGAAATAGATGAAGGAGAGCAAGGTGAGGATGGCGAGAGTCAAAAGAGATCGTTGTAAAGAGCACAACATTGGAGACGACGACGACGGCGACTGCAACAGCGACGGCGACTTGAATTGCTTTTGCTTGCCCACACTCATCTGGGCTTGCTAACTTGCACTCGGGGCTCAGTGTCGAAGCACAGTAAGGTATGTACGCTTCGCTCTCTCGCCGCTGGCTTTGATTTGGAATTTTGAAGCTGTAAAAATCAGGTCTTGATTCTGATTAAAATACAAAATTGGAGAAACTTTGATCTGTCTTTTTATTTTTATTTTTTTGCTTTTCTCATGGGGAATGAATGAATTCCCTTCAACTTTAACTGAGAAAATCCGTGAATTTCGTTTGTATTACGCGATAGATGCGTTCAGAATCAATACCTTGCAAAAAATTATTTTAATTATATCTTTGGATATTTTTAAATTTAACCGTTGAATTTAAATCAATCATTGCAACTGATGAGACAAGTTAGACTTCAAAAAAAGACTAAGAGAGGGGCTACATTTGGCCAGGCTAATGCCTCTTTGGCCAAATAATTGTATGGTGGGCTTCACACAATTATAGCCTATTCATGAGTTTTTGGACAAATCAAACCATTTTTTTACTTTTGGATCTTTAACCATTTCCATTGGAAATCGCTTAAGTATCCATAGGTTTAAGCTTCTTGGATTGTCTATATTCAGTGAACTTGTTCAACAAACAAGTACCTGTACATTCCCCACGTATTCAATGTCTAGTCGACATTCCAAATGACTAGCAACTTAGTTTAAGGTCTAAGTGACTATGGAATAGTCTCCCTGCCCTAACCTCATTTACGACATTGCTTTCATACCTTAAGTCCTATAGACTCATTCACAGTATATTATCTCTATAGTATAATGCCAAACCCATGAATGAAAAGTCAACATAACAAGGCAAGCATCATTTTGAGGATCAAGAGGGGTCAGATCTGCTCGAGATGCATTGGGATAAGCCCAAATTTGTAGTACCTTCACGGTAGCGGAAAAAACAACTTTAATACCAATTCAATGGATGCATCTAGGCGCGGTGCTGCATCTTTACTAATAGATCAACAACGAAGGAGATATCTTTTCTAATTTCAATGAGCCAAGTACAACAAAGTGCAAAGTTGAACTCAGATATGGAATTTTCGGATTCCATAACCTTTTCAAGGGTCTCATTTGCATATAGCATATGGAAGATTATAGATAGACTCAAAAGGTAACACCTTCAGGATGTATTTTGACTGGTAGACCAAAGTACTGTCAGAACAATGCCTGAACTTTAGGCTAAGGTATAAACGAGTTTCCCAAGATCCTGTATCTTAAATTCCGTATTTAGGTGCGAGGCAATTTTCTCAAGCTCTTCTAGAGTCTTAGTAAGATTCATGTCAACGACATAAACTGTAACTCTAGCAATTCAAAATGAGACTTCATAGTTTAACACTCAAAGGTGTAGTTCGTATCTCTAATTGAACAAATAATCACTTAGACGAGTACACCACATTCGTCGGATTGCTTCAATCCATAAAATGAATGCCTTAAACGAGTTGAGAGGGTGTTCCATGGTTTGGAATTATTTAAACCAGTCCATGTAATTCTTCGGGTACTTACATGTAAATCTCCATATTAATATCCCCATGGACAAACACTAACCACATTCATAATGCTGCAATCACTCACAAGGTGTTTAAGAGAAACCTTGCGCTATAAGGCATGCATCATATTGTACTGTTTCATTCATCTCATTATGCTTCCTTTCCCACTTGTAACACAACAGGGTTATCTTGGGTAGTGTAGGAACTACAGGTCCAAACACACTTTGATAAGGAATTAAACCTAGATTTTAATTTCAGTTGTCCAATTAGTTCTACGTTGTCACTAATCAACGGAACACAATTCGATATCGTCCCTTTTCGTTTATGTGGGTAGCTACCATTTAAGTGAAAACATCATCGATGATAATCTCATTCCAATTCCATTATCTCATCCAAACTAGTATACTGGACCAAGAACTTTAAGTCTCAAGAGTAATCCAAATTAATCTCATGAGATGGAAATGACTTGAGACAACGATCAAGTATAAATTCATTTTGTGTCGTGACCTTTCTGTTCTAGGGAAGTGAATCCTTGAACCGAGTGATTTGTTGTGCTTTAGGCCGAGACAGATTGATTGGCTATGTGTCGATGTATTCGACCATCCAACAGGGTCGGCCAAACATTCCAATAAGAACGGCACACCCTTCGGGGATGTTGACTCGACCTCCGTTAAGTACTTCTATCCTTGCAAGCATGTTTGCAGCTGGTATATGATCTCATCACTTTAGCTAGATCAAAGGAATGTGTTTAGAGCAACATTCTGAAAGTTAGAATACATCGCACTTGCTTATTACACTTATGCGGTACGGGAATTGAGATGACACATAGTGGGAAACGTTCACGCAAATTCATGCCATTCTATAGGAACATTGACATATTGGGAAACGTTCACGCAAATTCATGCCATTCTATAGGAACATTGACATTCTTATCTCCCCTTAACAGCTGGAAGACTGTCTCATTGAAGTGACAATCCGCAAATGAGCAGTAAAGAGATCGCATGCAATGGCTCTAAGAGAGCTATTATGAAACAGAATCATAATCGACAAAGATTCACAACCTTATGTGAAGACCCATATTGGTATGTCACAACGGCGCAACTTGGTACATTGAATGCACACCCAAAAAGTGTAAGTACAAAATGTCAGGTTCGTACCCAGTAACCAACTGTAATGTCGAATAGGTTAGGTGGCAATAGGCCTCAAGACAGACCAACATAGCTGCGTACAAAATTGCATAGCCCTAGGCAGAAACTGAAATCATGGTGTGTTCACCAAGGTTCATGGGATCAATTAAATTGCGCTTTATGATCACTCTGCGAGGCTATTTTCGGGTGAACATGGGAATTCGATGTCCAATTATAAACCTCAAAGACATGCAATACTTATTGAAGCATCTTCAATATAAATTCTCCAGAATTATCCAGTCTTCCAGACTTTATAGGATAATTAGGGTGGTGAACCCTTAAAGTTGGCCAAGAGGTTTAGCAGCAATGTGTGTGGACAAACATGTGACTAGTTTGTTGATTCATCAACCAAAATCATAAGTATTTATATAGTCCACATTTTGGTTGGATTAGTCCACATATATTCCCTTAAATCCACTATGAAAGAAGGGTAATTTCATATCTTTGCGAAAGATGATTTAAAAATCAAATTTCCCAACTGAGCAGTGATGAGTCAATATTATACCATATATTTTACCCTATTCTTAGTTATAGTTTATTGATTATTTTGGTAGAATTTTGATACTTTGTTATATATTTTCAATGTAGGACATTTGATTTCCTCTGGAGAAAAAAGTGATCAAATGGATGAATTTTACAGTGATTCCAAATGGAGGATGTTCATGACCCTTTCAAGATGATTGTATCGAAATTTCAGATTTTTCTACCGAGCCGTAAGACTGTGGTGATGAAATAAAGGTCCAGCGCGCAGCTTTCCCAAATTAACGTTTCTGGATGTTTTGGGTATTTTGGAGGTCAAAATGGCATATTTTGAGGAAGATTCCTTCTAAGGATTTATTAGGGACATCTCAAAATTTAAAAAGAGACCTTTTGGGACCAAATTGAAGTTGATTTGGTCAATCAAAAGTCTAATTTTCTGAGAAGTCCAAATTCCAGTTAAAATAGGAAATCTTTTATTTCCTATTTATCTTATTTTATTATGTTTCCTAGTTTTATTCTAAGACATTTTAGGGTTTTATTTTGTAATAGTATAAATAAGGCTATTTAGCCATTAGAGGGGGACAACGCACGCATCAATTTGGAGAATTTAGCTGGGCATTGAAGTTTTGTATTTCAAGGTGTTTTCTATCCTTTTTCTATTTCAATAAAATTCCTTTTCTTTTATAGTTGTTCATAACTAATTTTCATTTGTTAGGGCGAAGTCATGATCCTTAGCATGAATATGTGATTTTATTAATTTGCTTATGAATGGATGCATGCTTGCTTTGAATTATTAATCACCGCAATTAAACTATCTAATTGTCTTAGTAATTCACGACCATTAGGATTTTTAGACAAGTAATTTGATGCAATTTTTGTTGGAACATCACCCTGAAATTGAGGAAGGCTTCTTGTGATTAGTAATTGTAAGTTCACTTAAGATGAACATCACGCTCTTAAGGGTTGCATGGTTTTTCAAAGAGTTTTCACAAAGCTTAATGAGTCTTGCATGCTTATATTTGATCTGAACATCACAGACGGGTTGCATGTTAGATATACGTTTTCGCTTGAATATCACAAGGAAAATATATATTAGGAAAACCTTACCTTCAAAGCATGTATGTAGAAATTCATAAGTAATTGGTAAAGTTGCATAGGATTGTTAAGGGGACGGCGGAACCCTAGGCTTTTACAATTTGGTTTTCAAAATGTTTTCCTTTGTTTTCTTTATTTTGCTAGTTTCTTTAACCTTTTTAATTAAATTCGTTTTTATTATTTTTAAATTAAAATCAACCTTTTCCAATCTTTGTTTTCAAGTAATTAATTAAGATTTGGCTTGAGCTGCTATACTACTATAACCTTGTACTCCTGCAAGTATTTTTAAGTGTTTTTATCCCTACTTTGTAAGGGGTAAAAATCTTATCCAGCAAGCTTGGCAAAGTGTGCTTGTAGGCACAAGATCCTTACTTCGGGTAAGGAGATGCGTCGTGCCAAAGCAAATAAACTGCTCAATCCCCAGGCTCCAAGTTGGCCACATCTGGCGCTTTCCCAGTTGGGAGATAGCCCATTGGCCCCAAAACAAATCCTCTGGCTCATTTTTGGAGGTGATGCAAAGATATTCCACTCTATTTTCTTCAATGGTTTCATTTATGATCAGTCTTCTCTTGAATATCCTTAAAACTCAACGATGTTCTTCCGAAACGGGGAAAATATAAGGTCTCTTAAATGGTAATGTAGTACCATTCATACAACGAGGAGCGTGCTAATGCTCTTAATCAGGTTGGATCCTGAAGTCGTTGCTAGAGATGTGATTTAGGTGTAAAATTAGTGTGCGTGGTATCACATTTATCCAAAAAACTAACTTTCCCACATTCGTACCTAATCACGTGTTTAATTGAATTCGGTCACATGTATACAAGAAACATGATTCAATTAACTCATTTTCGAGGACAATATTGATAACATAATCCATAACTAAAACAAACCCAAGAACATAGAAAAATGTTCACAAAATAAACCAAAGTTACTAAGGGGATTCAGCCAACAAGGCCGTTTATGTCAAAATTTTGCTTTTCCAACGGTGTTCAGTGGAGCAAAATCAGCCTCACATATTAACTACTAGAATGGTACTCCTCAACAACATTGGTAAAAGCACAAACAGGTGAATAACCAATGATCTATTCCATTAAGATGGAAGTAGATTTTGCAAGGTTGAGGTTTGAGAACAATATCCCTTATTCTTGAAGTTTTAGGTCTTATGTGCCAAGGATCATACTTTGAGCGTGATGCCACACCTTGGCAGGCCTTGATTCTACCATATGTTGTAAAAACAATCTCAAAGGACGAGAAAAGTATTCTCGAGTCAAAATTCTTTTGGATCTATAAACTTCATAATCGTACTAATTCATGGACGTAATCATGGTGTGCTTCAGGCAATATTTTTCATGATTAAACAGTTCGTAGAAGCGAGCTAAAGAACCATGGAATCCTCGTTCGAGAGGTATTTCCCTTTGTAATGCTCCAGGCATAAGTCTTCGAATGAAGATCATAGCGGAGGCTTATTCAGCTCTTCCATGACATTGTTGGCTTCAATGGTTTCTCAGTTTCTTGATAGTCAAGTGGAGATTCACGTCTTGTACCCACATAAAGTGGTTTAAGTTAGAAACGTCCAAATAAGGGAAATTGAACTTGTGACGGTCCGACAATCACTAAATGGAGGGAGCAAGATTGGGAATAATGCTATAGGCAATAAAACATCCATAAGCATCAAAGGTAGAACATTCGGATTCTAAGACATGGTTTACATGAAAAATGTCGGGTGTTCATGGGTGTATTTTTTTATGAAAACTTTATGTTTCAAAGGCACTAAATTCGAAACCATAAGTTCAATTTAGTTTATGAACATTTAGTTCATAAAAGAAAGGTTCCCGCAAAAACACAGAATGATATATGTTGGTTTAAGTGTAGTGGATTTGAGTTGCTTTGGGAACTTAAGTGTGAGAGTTTCGGGACTACGAAATGATGTCAGCGGTTCAAAATAGAAAAATAAATTTTTGAATCATTAATGTCCAAAAGTGATCTTCAGATCAATAATTTTGGATTAATTATCAAATTAATGGACTGGTCACTTTTAATTAATTCAATAGATCAAGATCAAACAGAGTCAATCGTGGAAGCAAAAATAATGATAGATGGGTCATATTAGCTTCAGTTGGCGATAGGCCAAGTGATAATTAAATTAGAATTAATCAGCGTAAACCAAAGTGTCCCAAAAAGAAATAATTGGGTATGATTTATAATGTGGGCATGCCAAAAATTGGCATTGGGTCAAAAAAATAATGCGGCCTAGCCTTATTGGGCTGGCTACAGTGTGGGGACAGGCCCTACAGCATGGCTACAAGTCATTGGGCCTCAGGGAAAGCTGCGGGTGCAGCCCAGTTATGGTTGCAGGCTATTGGGCCAACTCTAAGATGAAGCCCAGCAGCAAAAGCTGCTAGTTTGGGCCAAAACGAGGCGCAGAAGCAAGCCCAACTGAAGGATGGCTTACAGGTTGACACTAAAAGCCCAGTAGAAGCTGGCTTTCAAGTTTGGGCCCGGGCAAGGCAAATCCAGCAGAGTAAACTGCTGGTGAGTTGGGCTAAGACATGGGCGAAGCCCAGTAAGCAACGCGAGCCTGCTGCAGGGGAGCCAAGGGCATGGGACAAAGCCCAGCAACATAGGGCTGCTGGTTTTGGGCTAGGGACACGGTAGGACATAATCCAAGAGAGCTGCATGCCTCTAGGAATTGGGCTAGGGCTGTGTGCCCGTGTAACCCTACCAGGCCAAGGGCCTGGGTTGTTGTGCATGCACAGCAAAACCTAAAGGCCTACTGCCGTGTGGTCTAAGGTGTTAAATGACGTTGTTTCCATGTGTGCTCCACGCGGCTGGGCTGCAGGTTGGAGACGGGGCTCGGTGGTGGTGCTAACGGCGACGCGACAAAGAGATGCAGGTTATGCTGCAAAAAATCCCAAGTTAAAATTATTTTTATTATTTTTTCTTTTTTGACTTTTCTAGGATTTGGTAAACTCTAAATTGCTTCTAATTTATTTCGATGCTTTGACTCACAAATTCCACATAGCGATTTATAATTGAGTAATGCATGAACATGTGTGTGTGTGTGTATATATATTGACAAATATATGAACATATACAATATATATCGGAAGGTAAATATAAATGTAAGGGATTCATGCATCATGTGGAATGTTTTTATGCTTCATGGTTGTTTCAAATATCTTCCTTTATTTTAAAAGAATCTAATTGGCAAAAAATAATTTAGCCTTTGAATTTGTAGAACATCCTTCCTTGAAACCTGGAATTGCATCTCCATTGCATTGTATCATGTTCAACAAAAAAAAATTAAACTGAGTCAATAGCATGTAGATCAATTCAACAAAATAATAAATTAATCATAAAAAAATGATTAAAACGTAATGCTCCTCTGATTGAAGAATAAACTCTGTTTAGCACAACATCAAGAGCGTGCTAATAATGTGTTATAGGCATAATTTACTGAATAATATGGAGACCATAGAGAAAGGGGTTGCATCAAAGTACAGATAAAGAGAGATGTGTAATTGTGAGATGTATTTTATCTCACCCCATTGTGCCTTTATTATAGTAGTAGAGAAGGTAAATTCCTTACCCCAATAGGATTACAACTCTAATAGGAAAATATCTAGTCTAAGAGATATAGTAGAATCCCACAAGGATATCCCTAGATATGATAGGATTTACACAATCGCATTCCTAATCTAATAGGACTGCCACAATAGTTATGGTTATTTTTGTAATAATCTTTTTCTTCTGTCGTACGGACTTATCAACATATATAAAGCTAAATAGTCTTTTGGTTAACTTTTACAAGCATGACAAATGACGTTACTTTACTAAAATGGTCGTTCCAAGCATTAGCTTAGTCAAGTTAGCTAGAGCTGTGCTCTCACTTCCGCACACTCCAATATGGTGCCTGTTTTAACATATCATCTATTGGTGGGTTGGCCTATGGGTGTTGATCAAGTAAATTGAAAACCGCAGGCAGCTCTATATACAGAACCTTCACAAAGAGAGACGTGCACAGATATTGACCATCATGAAGTTTATGGAATCACAAAGTTGTATGGTTTTTAGGCTGTAACACATACAAGAAAATTCCGCCGGCAACTGAAACATTGAGCGACTCAAATTCCCCTGCCATTGGAATGCTTACAAGCTCACAGAGCCGACGAGATTTCTCAGACAGCCCACGTCCTTCACTGCCCAAAACCAAGCTCACTGGCATATTTGCGAATGAATCTGCAAGCTTTTGAGAAAGGAGTGACACTGGCTTCGATTTTTCTTCAGTTCCCGGATGGCCAGCTAGCAGCTTTAGTTGGAATTCGTTTTTCAAGGATTGAAGATGATTCCATGTACCAGAAACAATAGGGAGCTGAAATGAGGCTCCTCGGCTGGCTCGAAGTGCCTTCTCATTGAATGGATCACAGCATCCAGGAAGTAGAAAAGCACCATTCTGTTAAACATCGGCCCCAGAAACATACATCTTTTAAACATTAATTAATACGGAACAATCAAACTACATAGGAAAATGCAATAGAAGCATTATAAGATAGCACCATAAAAAAAGGGAACACTGAGAAGTACGAAGATACATCCCTAGTCCAGCTGTTTTGCCAATCGATCTAGTTAAACATGTTAAGAATATTTGAAGAGAAACTCCAAAGGCCATCAACGTACCACAGTCCTCCACAATGTACTAAACACGGCACTGGCAAACTTATTGGAATTAATTGTATACAAATAAGAACAACAGTGGGAACACCAATCAAGCTCAGTCTATTCTTTGATGAGTGATGGAGATAACAGTTTTAATAAAACCTTGAAAGGATATGAAAGACTAGGAAAACCAAGAGAATAGCTTTTCAAAATAAAGAATAAATAAAAACTTGTACCAAGCAAAATATGAAGAGGAAAGAGGAGAGAAAAAATAAATAAAAATCTGATGTTTACGACTTATTCCTTACCCATCCAAAGGCCATAGCTGATCTGAGCAGCGTACCAAGGTTACCCGGATCCTGCAGTGAATAACTTTTTAATTTTTATTGATTGTTGATACAGATGCCCATAAAGTTAATGAAATCAAATGCCTGAAATTACAACCAGCAGATTAAACTACATTTTGGAACTAAGTCATCAAATTTACATTTTTCTAAACGAAAAGATAAAGAAGCAGGGGAAACCAAATTTTATCACAATCTTTGCAATTAATAATAGATGAGTTACAGAGATGACGAGAACTTAAAATGAAATCCATTGTTTCTTGTAAAAAGTAGGCCAAAGTATAGTATCGTTAATCTTTATTTTGTGCAGAATTGAAAGCATGTCATTTATTTGTGACATAAGGAAAACTTATGTAATTGATTTGCAGAATTTGAGACAAGAAAAAGGCCGTGCCATCAGAATATCCATTACTAAATGCTGGGATTCTAATTATAAAGCCAAATAGAAATGTGATGTTGTGCCTTTCCTTTATGAACAAGAACATACAAGAAATAGCAGAAGGCGCCAAACTAATCAGGAAATTTCCACCGAATGACTAAGCATTGAAATCTCAATATTTGATTTCTAGTACACTTCCAAGATTTTAGAGGAAAACCAGGCTGAATTTGTTTCCGTATTTATTTTTTGGGCAAAGCATTAAAAACTCTCTGAAAAATTCATAGTTGACAATACAATTGCTTCACATGACAGAAGACTAATCAGTGACCATACAGCCAAGAGGTACATGGTGACATCTTTAAACACGAAGGTGCAAGAATACAATACTTGAAAAAATTAACATGATCTAGTGTCAAGTCAGTGGAAGAGTCACCTGGACGCCATCAAGGACTACAACTCGATGGGGAGATGGGAACCACATCTTACAGTTTACCTCCTTTTGTTCAGCATCTATGTCTGAGAAACTAGTAGGAATTCTCATTAGAGCAATTGCTTCAATGGATTCAGTTGATTGCATCCCTGAAAGTTTTTTCATCACAACAGAGCTCACTTGCACAATACGAAGAGAGAATTCATTAATCCATTCAGGGGCCTCAGCTTTATCAAGTAGAAGCAAACAATCTATTATAACAGTTTTCTCTTGTGATGACTTTTGAAACCTGCATATTTCCCTGAAAACGAAATCTTCAGAATACATGACCACATATTTTGCATATGAGACACCAATTATAGTAGAAATTGAATGGTATTATATAAATTTAAATTAAACCTTCTCTTCAGCTCCATACAAAATGACCAAAAAATGCAAAAACATACATCCAACAATACAATTATGCAAAAATCAAATCAAATAAACGAAAATAATAACAGGAGATGACATGCTACACGTACTGTGAAAGGTTAATGAAAAAAACAAGAAATTTCCTTCGAGTCTTTGACACAACAGCATTGACAATGGACGGAGAGATCCTAATAAATCCTATAAACAGTTATGGAGGAGTAGCCAAGATTAAGTATAAAAAGGATGTGAAGGTTGTTGTTTATGACAATAAAATATACATTACATGTGGAACAGGGTACAACATTGATTAATGAATAAAACAGACAAAAGAAAACAGAAAAAAGCATCATAATTGTGAGGAGCGTCAAAGCAAGTACGTTCTTAGCTGGTATAAGACTTCTGAGCAAAGAAGGGAAGATCAACCCATAGACACTCTCCTCGTCACAATGTTCTGGACGCTTTATCACGTCCAGTCCAGGCCAGGCCAGGCTCGAGCTTGGTTTCTAAAATTGTTTTCTGAATTTGTTCACTTCCAAAGCATTCCAAAATGACTTAGAACTTCTATGTTATGGTTTTTCTTTTTCAGTTGATTAAGATCCTAGCACTTCTCACAACATAAAATACCAAGTTTATCTTTCAAAGGTTATCTTTCTTAGGATTATGATTCGGAAACTTTTATTATAAACTTAGAGCCCGTTTGATAACCATTTCAGTTAGTTTTTAGCTTTCAGTTCTCAAAACAATAAGAAGTGAACAAATACTGAAAACTGAAAACGAAATGGTTATCAGGAGATAGTTGCCCATCATACTATGCAAACCAAAGGGGAACAGCAGGTTATGGGATTGATCGTTTGGGCACAGAGCTTTATACTCTCAAAACCTACTATAAAGAAAAAGATTTCAAGATTGGATTTTTATCCTCTTTATTTTTGTGTCCACTTTCTCAGCAACCAAACAGGACAAACAGAAATATAGCAGGTACCCAATTGAGATTTGGGCAAGTTAAGTGACAATTACGAAGAACCCAAATAAATTGAAGTGGAAAAGAGAAGAATAAGCATGAAACCTGATAGGTGTGGCACCTACAACGAGAGCTGAACCATGGCTGTGGCGATAAGATGAACTGTGGCGGAGCTTGTGGCAATGTTTGACGAATGGGTTTGAGGTGCTGGTTATGGAGGTAACGTGGGACGGCAGTGGAAGCTTGAAGTCAGTGTCTGAAAAGTTAGTCGGAGTAAGGGTTTGTCTTTGATCAATTGATAACTGTGAGTACGAGTCCCAAACTTTGAGCTTTCTGGGGGGAATGGCTGCCGCTGAGATTATGTTTGAGCATTGCATTTTCTCCTCGCAGTTCTACTGCGAATACATCAATTCCCCAGTAAAGGCCAGCTTTGGAAAGGAAGGGGAAGGGGTAAAGTTATATGAACTTTTGAGTCAAGGTCCACGGACCACTTCACAAACTTAAGATCATTTTTATTGATTTCAAATCTCAAAGATTAAAGTGATGAGTTATGCAAATCTATAAATCATTTTGACTAAAAAACCGAATTAAATAACTTCTCCCTTTGAGATATTCCTTGAACTAGTTTTTCAAGATATTTCCAAAATTTCTCCTTGAGACGCCTATCCAAACCCACTTAAAATGCATACTCACTAATCACATTAATGAGTTACTGTCCTATCATAATCTTGATTGCTATAATTCGATCGCTTACCCTTTTAACATCTACAACATCTTTTGTAAGAGTCTTATCCACTTAGTTTCCTGGAGCCACATCATGAAAATTTAAAACTAGTAATGTTTAATAATAAATTGGTCATTACAAAATTCCATGACAATCGACATAATTATTTTTAAATCCATGATAAAAGTCTCACAAACTCCATTTAAATATCCACGTAGAATTCAATCAAAATCCATGAGGATCTACGACGTTAAGGAAACTTCCTCAAAATCTATGTATAACTATATGAAAATCCATTGAACTATACAATACACTTCCTGAGTTTTTTGTCTTTGCAAATACCTCTCTCCCTAGCTAATATTTTGATGAATTTCGTCTTGGTTGCAAAATCCAACAAATTCGCTTGCCTATGTGTTAAGGAAATATTTTTGTTCTCCACCTTATTGATTACCGTCGGATGAGTTTGATTTAATCTCTTACTACATAAATATCTAAATTTAAACTCATCTAAATTTAAACTCATCTTAGAAAATTTAATAGGGTGGTGAGCACCACTTCCCTTAACAACTAACAATTTAATTTACTAACGCTATCGTTTGTAAAATGAGTGACACACCCCGACCGAGATCAGGGCGTGCTGGCCGTCACGTGGAAGTGACTTAGCCATGTGCACAGTGCGGAAACTAATAAATTAGTAATGTAAAAGTACGAATAATTAAAAACTAGCATACATAAGGTAGAAGTAGTAAGTGCTAGCGTAAGTGAGACGCTAAGTTCAGAGCTAAATGCCTAGAGCAGTCCAACTAAAATAGCGTTACAACAGTGCACCCGAAGGTGAACACACGCTGGTGCTCGTCTGTCAGAAATGCCGGGAAAGCCCTCTGGGAAACCACCAAATCAACTGAACAGCTAGAACCTGGAGGGGTGCAAAACAAAAGCGTGAGTGGGTAAAAACAAAGCTTTTCAAAACCAGCTCAAAATAAGTTCTAACCCCTCACCGTAAAACCTGTATACTTCCCAGAAAATAAACATATGCTCGTATATATAGATATGCCAATCATGCTCCATAATATGCCATGTCGGAACCTCAGAATGAAATGCAAGTGCTTAGGTGTAAATCACATCAATAATACGTAATCTGGCAGCCGGAGTCACCTAACGTGACCTGTACGGCTGCATCTAGAGCTCAAATCTCAATCACTATAACTGAACCTGCCCACGAGTCGGAACCACCTAAAGTGGTCTGTACGACAAGCCTGGGTGTAATACATATAAACGCTCTAGTGCTACGATCACATGAAGGCTGTGCGAATAATCGCGGGTCACCTACGAGTCGGAACCACCTAAAGTAGTCTGTACGACAAGACTGTGCACCTAACTTGGATCCAAGCTAAGCGTATGGTGCGGGAGGTGAACAACACGTGAAGGACTGTGCCCTACTCTGGGCGGGAGCACTAACACCGGGGGTGCAGGTTATGAGCTCTCTAAGCATCTCGAACCACTACTGAATATAAACGTGAATAACACTTACCTGGCACTTACCTGTGCGTCCACAGCACCAATTATGCATACGTATATGTATACGATTAATAAAACTACTAATGATGCATAAGGAACGATAATATGACACATGGCATAACTAATAACATTTAAACCAATTTCTGGGAAAATAATAGTATATGTGTATATACGGAAAACCAAAAGCCCACTCACTGGTATGTGGAAGGGTCGTAGCCCCCCTGCCTCGAGTGACCACGCTCGTCCTTGGGATACGTTTCACCTATATGCGAAAATACTATAAACACGTTAATTTTAAAGCACATAACCTTCCTTTCGTAATAACTTCTCATACATTGCTCAAAATGGACAATTGAATATACCAACGTGCTCTACACAACCTCAGGATCACACCCATATTTTTAGAAAAATTTTCCACTACCGCACGCGCCCCCACGCGCCGCCCACGCGTAGGCACATGCCTGGTATGCTGACGGCGTCAACTGACGCCGTTAGGAATATTCCGTTAGTTCTAACGGATTCCGTTAACGGCGTCAGGAATATTCCGTCAGAATTGACGGAATATTCCGTCACCTTCTCCGGCGAGCCTCCGGCTCCGTCGCTGGCGCCGGAAAACTGGAAAAACTTCAACCTTCGATTTCTCTCTCGTTTTTCAACCATTTTTCGTGATTTTTGCACCAAAACGAAGCCTAAGACTAGGAGAACATAAATATACAACTTTTAAGGCCTAAAAACCATGGAATCTCACCTGCAAAAACGATCCAAGTCCGGCCAACTTCGAACCCAGCGATCCTGACGTCCAAATTCACCAAACGAACCACTCCGAGACTCCTTGGGACCTCACCAAGCTATCTACAAGCTTCAAATTTCCTAAAATGTGATAAATCACGTATGCATGAATAGTACTCAAATCGGACCTACGTCGAATCAATGTGAAAACGTTGATATTCTTACCTGAAAATGGTACGACTGGACTCCTCTCAGCCTCATGAGCTCGAAGGTGGTCCTGGTTCCCTCGATCCATAAATGTTTGAGTGTGTTTGTGTGTGTCTGTACGTTTCCAGAAGGAAGAGGAAGGAAAGAGGACTCGGGAGAGAGAGACAGGGAGAGGGACAGGGAATCTGGGAGCGTGACAGTGTGTGTGTGTGTGTGTGTGTGTGGCCCAACACATGCCAACACCACACCAAACAACCATTAAACGTAAAAGAAACGAACTAAGGGCAAAATAGTCATTTCACACGTGAGTTTTCGATATTTTCGGGATGGGATGTCACAACCTACCCACCTTAATAGGATTTCGTCCCGAAATTCAAAACAACCAAATTACAACCTCTAGTGGTCAAAGAACAATCGAGGGTACAAATCCCTCATCCGATCTTCCGTCTCCCACGTAGCTTCCTCGACTGAATGATTCCTCCACAAAACTTTCACTAAGTTCACCGTCTTGTTCCTTAGAACCTTTTCCTTCCAGTCTAGTATCGTCACTGGTTCCTCGTTATAAGTCAAATCTGGATTAATCGTCACTGGTTCCTCGTTATAAGTCAAATCTGGATTATCACGTGGGACAGATCAGCAACATAATGTCGAAGCATGGACACGTGAAAAACGTTATGCACTCTGGCTAGCTCCGGAGGCAACTCCAACCTGTAAGCTACCTCACTAACTCGCTCTGTGACCATGTATGGTCCGATGTACCTGGGACTCAACTTGCCTTTCTTCCCAAATCTCACTACACCTCTCCACGGTGAAAGCTTCAGAAATACCCAATCTCCGACCTCATACGCTCTGTCCGTAGCATGCCGGTTTGCTAAACTCTTCTGCCTGTCCTAGGCTGCTTTCAGGTTAGACTTGATTACCTGAACGTTCTGAGTAGTCTCCTCAACAATCTCCGGACCCACTAAGACTCTTTCTCCAACCTCTGACCAACACAACGGTGTGCGACAAGCTCTACCATATAATGCCTCAAATAGCGTCATGCCAATACTCGAATAAAAGCTGTTATTATAGGCAAATTCCATCAAATCCAACCGCTGGTGCTAAGCATCACCAAATTGCAACACCGAAGCTCGTAACATATCCTCCAAAGTCTGAATAGTTCTCTCTGACTGTCCGTCCGTCTGAGGATGATACGCCGTGCTATAAAGTAGTCTCGTAACCAAAGCTTCCTGAAAAGCCACCCAAAATTTAGAGGTAAATCGTGGATCACGATCCGAGACAATACTCACCGGGACACCATGGTACTTCACAACCTTCGAGATGAACAACTCCGCTAAACGACTCAAGGAATACTTCTCCCTCACTGGAATGAAATGTGCCGACTTAGTGAGCCGATCAACGATCACCCAAATGTCATCAAAACCATTATGTGTACGCGGAAGCTTGTACACAAAATCCATGGTAATATTTTCCCATTTCCACTCTGGAACGGGAAACGGCTGCAACAACCCAAACGGCTTCTTCCTTTCTGCTTTAACCTGTTGACAAATAGCACATCTACTCACATACTCAGCTATCTCCCTCTTCATACCCGGCCAATAATAAAATGGTCGAATGGTATGATACATTTTAGTAGCACCTGGGTGCATGGCGTAAGCCGAGATATGTGCTTCATCGAGAATTTCTTTCTTTAAATCCAAATTATTGGGCACAAACATTCTTCCCTCTTGCATCAACATGCCATCCGACTCACGCACTCTGAGGTCTCTCCTCCTTCCTTGATCTCGAGCTTGGATTAGTTCTTGAGTTTGCTCATCAGCTACCTGAGCTGCAAGTACCCGATCAACTAAGATTGGCCTAACTTGGAAATTAGCAAGTAAAGCCACTTCTCGACCTTCTGCTTCTAAACTCACTCCTGTAGAACGCAAGTTCGCCAAAAGAGGAATACGACTCGCGTACAACGCATTAATGCGGCCCTGAGACTTCCTGCTAAGTGCATCAGCAACTACATTTGCACGACCAGGGTGATAGTCAATTGTACAATCATAATCGCTGAGCAACTCCATCCACCTCCGTTGACGAAGATTAAGTTCCTTCTGAGTAAAAAGATACTGAAGGCTCTTGTGATCTGTAAAGATCCTACATTTCTCCCCATAAAGGTAGTGTCTCCATAACTTCAACGCAAAGATAATAGCAGCCAACTCCAAATCATGT